TCTAGTTGGCAGATGGTATCAAGTGGAGTGCCCCAGAGATCAGTCCTGGGGCTGGTTTTCTTCAATATCTTTATTAATGATCTGGATGATGGGATGAATTGCATCCTCAGCAAGTTTGTAGATGACACTAACCTGGGGGGAAGAGGTAGCTATGCTGGAGGGTTAGGGATAGGGTCCAGATTGACCTAGACAAATTGGAGGATTGGGCCAAAAGAAATCTGATGAGGTTCAAGAAGGACAAGTCCAGAGTCCTGCACTTAGGAAGGAAGAATCCCATGCACTGCTACAGAATGGGGACAGACTGTCTAAGCAGCAGTTCTGCAGAAAATGACCTGGGGATTACAGTGGATGAGAAGCTAGATATGAGTCAACAGTGTACCCTCGTTGCCAAGAAGGCCAACAGCATATTGGGCCGTATTAGTAGGAGCATTGCCAGCAGATCGAGGGAAATGATTTTCCCCTCTATTCGGCACTGGTGAAGCCACATCTGGAGTATTGTGTCCAGTTTTGGTCCCCCCACTACAGAAGGGATGTGGACAAATTGGAGAGTCCAGTGTAGGGCAGTGGAAATGATTAGGGGGCTGGAGCACATGACTTATGAGGAGAGGCTGAGGGAACTGGGGTTATTTAGTCTGCAGAAGAGAAGAGTGAGGGGGGATTTGATAGCAGCCTTCAACTACCTGAAGTGGGGATCCAAAGAGGATGGAGCTCAGCTGTTCTCAGTGGTAGCAGATGACAGAACAAGGAGCAATGGTCTCAAGTTACAGCGGGGGAGGTCTAGGTTGGATATTAAGAAACACTATTTCACTAAGAGGACGGTGAAGCACTGGAATGGGTTACCTAGGGAGGTGGTGGAATCTCCATCCTTAGAGGATTTTAAGGCCCAGCTTGACAAAGCCTTGGCTGGGATGATTTAGTTGGTGTTGGTCCTCCTTTCAGGAGGGGATTGGACTAGATGACCTCCGGAGTTCTCTTCCAACTCTTAATATTCTATGATTCTTTTGTTGGTGATGAGAAACTATCCTGACAGAAGGACACTATACACATGTAAATAGTTAAACTTGTATTTCTTAAATTATTTCTTTTCCTTTTGTTTAGGATGGGTTACTGGGTGGCGACATTTTACTCATCAGCAAGATGGACAAAACTCAGTTGGGAGGTGTTGTTATGAGCATGATGAAGCCTTGTTATGAGTTGAGTTAAAGCCTCTTTAAATCCACATGTGAGTCACCCATTTGAGTCAATTGTAAAACAGAGTTAAGGGGCCACACCTAAAACAAAGAGAGCCTGCCCAGAACTAGCACCAGGTGGGTGGAGGGTTTGACTGAGTATTGTAAACAGGCATGTCCACACATTGGAAGGGGGCGGGGGGGGGAGAAGAATAAACAAAAACTGACTGAGAGGACAGGACAACAGGCTGAAGGAATACTTGAAAGCATATGGCTGACCCTGGAAGAAACCTGGGGAGAGGGATTTTTTTGAGTTGGGGTGCAGGCTGAAAAGAGCACTCTAGTGCTGTGAGCAAAATAAGCTGCTTCCACTTCTGTCAGTTCCTCTGCGTTCAGAGACACAGGACTTATTTGTAAATAAACAAAATTGCATCAAATAAATCCCTATCACCAATTTCTACTTCCAGCTGAAACAACCACAGAACCCCAATCTTTGACTAGTTGCTAACGCTAAAAAGGGGCAGCACTTTATCAGTTAAATGAAACTGAAAGGCAGCAAACTTAAGTTCTTGTATTACTGGGAAAAAAATAAAATTTCAGTCTACCTCCTTTACATCATTATGGTACCTTTATCATAAGAACATAAGATCACAAGAACAGCCATACTGGGTCAGACCCATGGTCCCTTTAGCCCAGTATCCTGTCTTCCAACAGTGGCCAATGGCAGATGCTTCTGAAGAAATGAACAGAGCAGGGCAGGCGGTGTTTCTCAAATGCAGGCACTGTGACCGCATGTGGCCATCAGGGGTTTTTCCACAGCAGCCTCCTGGGCAGAGATGGGGGAGGGGGCAAAGTAGCACCCAGGGGCTCTGGGGGCAGGCTTCAGCCAGAGGCTCCAACAGGGAGCTTCACCCTCACGGGCTCCCCCCTACCTTCAGCTGGAGGCTCCAACGGCTTAACCCCCCTCCCCTCCTTCAGCTGCGTGGGGCTATTGCAAGTTCCATGCTTCAGACTCCGTTCTTACCCTCCTTCCCCCCTCCCTCCCCTCCCCGCTTCAGAGCTCCAAGCTTGAGCCCTCCCCACCCCGGATCCAGCCGTGGGTCTCCGACTCCGAGTTTCGGCCCAGGGTGGAGGGGCTTCAACAGGCTGGCCTTACCAGGCGCTATGGTCAAGAGGAAAGGATCAGGGTGAGCCAGGGGTGCGAGGCTGCAGAAGGGAGCTTGGGGCAATAGGGGGGAGGAAAGCAGTGGGGGTCAGAGGTGATGGGTGGGGGACCGGGGAAGCAGCAGAGTCCAAGAGCACCAAAATACAACTGTACATTATTTTTACTGTCTTCAAAAACAACTCTACATAAATAAATTACAATGATATTTACATATTTATTTGTTCTTTCTAAAGTTAACAACATATTTTAGGAAAAGTTATCAGAGCAGCCACCAGCAAGAGTTGTGCAAAATGTGCAAAGCATAAAAACTTTGTATGTTTAGTATCAGAGGGGTAGCCATGTTAGTCTTATCCAACAGATTTATTTGGGCATAAGCTTTCATGGGTAAAAAACCCAGTTCTTCAGATGCATGGAGTGAAAATTACAGATACAGGCATTATTATACTGACACATGAAGAGAAGGGAGTTGCCTTAAAAGTGGAGAGCCAGTGTTGACAGGGTCAATTCAATTCAATCAGTGATGCTAGAGTAGATATGGGGATAGAGTACTCTACTCTACTCTACCAACAAGGAGTCCGGTGGCATCTTAAAGACCTACAGATTTATTTGGGCATAAACTTTCGTGGGTAAAAAAACACTTCTTCAAGTGCACCCGAAGAAGTGGTTTTTTACCAACGAAAGCTTATGCCCAAATAAATCTATTAGCCTTTAAGGTTCCACCGGACTCCTTGTTGTTTTTGTGGATTCCGTCTAACATGACTACCCCAATACTTACTACTCTACTCTAGTGACACCATCAGAGGCCCCAACCATTCACCTGCGCATCGACTAATGTTATATATGCCATCATGTGCCAGCAATGCCCCTCTGCCATGTACATTGGCCAAACCAGACAGTCTCTACGTAAAAGAATAAATGGACACAAATCAGACATCAGGAATGGTAACATACAAAAGCCAGTAGAACACTTCAATCTCCCTGGACATTCAATAACAGATTTAAAAGTAGCCATACTTCAACAAAATAACTTCAAAAACAGACTTCAAAGAGAAACAGCAGAACTAAAATTTATTTGCAAATTTAGCACCATTAATTTGGGCTTGAATAGGGACTCGGAGTGGCTGGTTCCATACAAAAGCAACTTTCCCTCTCTTGGTATTGACCCCTCCTCCTCAGTTATTGGGAGTGGACCACATCCACCCTGATTGAATTGGCCCTGTCAACACTGGTTCTCCACTTGTGAGGTAACTCCCTTCTCTTCATGTGTCACTCTAATAATGCCTGCATCTGTAATTTTCACTCCATACAACTGAAGAAGTGGTTTTTTTTACCCACAAAAGTTTATGCCCAAATACATTTATCAGAGGGGTAGCCGTGTTAGTCTGAATCTGTAAAAAGCAACAGAGGGTCCTATAGCACCTTTAAGACTAACAGAAGTATTGGAGCATAAGCTTTCGTGGGTGAATGCCCACTTCATCAGACGCAAGGACTTGCATCTG